TGATGGGGGTATCCGCCAGCACGCTCCGAGCGCTCGTTCTCCGGGGGCCCCCCAAGCCTTCTTCTTCTTCTTCTTTTTCTTCTTCTTCTTCAGCAGCAGCACTGCAATTTGGGTGTGCCGTTGGGGCCGGAGATAAGTATAGGTTGACTAATATGCACTTAGGATCCCGGGGAAGAAATACTTAGGGCTAAATGTTTAATTTGTGTTTGTTCAACACATGTCCAATTTCAGAGAGGGGTGGGGTGTTTGTCACGGGGAGTGAGGGGCCCGGTGTCTCTCTCAAAGAGCCCCGACAACAAATAATTAAGGCTCTCCGGATCGGGGCCACAGGCTTAAAGCGATGAAGCTGAATGACATCTTCGGCAAAAAAAAAAAAAAAAAGGAAAAAAAAAACATCTGGAAACGCTTAAACCTGCAACACGGTGCGTCTGGATGGAGGGAGGAGAAATAAAACGACAAAAACGACTCATCGAGTCAGGTACCGTCTCCATCAGGTCGATACGGGGGGCAGAGGGGGGATGGAGGGCGGTCTCTCGCTCTTCCTCCCTGACCGCAACCCGAGAGCCGCTCTGCGTTCCAACGAATCATTCTGGCCAAATGAAATCCGTTCAGAAAAAAAACAACACTTTTTTGTAGTTTTTGTTTTTTCACGCCAGAGCAAATGAATCCCGTTCCTGAACATTTCTGGCCGATTTAAAGATGGCTCAAGGCTGTCACAAAGGGACATCATGAATCTGAAAATGCAGTGTGAAATCAGACAGTTGTTTTTAGAAATGACCTGGTGGTGAAATGAAGGCCCACAGACTGAGATGTTATCTTCAACTGAGACGCACAGTTTGAAAGGATTTTAATACCAAAAGGAAACTAAGTAAATCATTAAGATCTTAGAAACATTTGAAAATAACAAATCAGTCATTTCAAATCTCTTCAAAATGTTTTTTTTTTTTAATCCGCATTTGGGCATTTGATAACTTATTGAGCTTCACAAGTCCCATACGGATCCCCCTGTGGAAACTTTCTGGATGCATCCCTCTGGTGACGCAGGAAGACATTTTTTTATAATTCATTTATGTTTAGACTGAAAGTGACGTATCTTTGAAAATGAGATATCATTTGGAAATATAGAAAAGAAGTTATTTAGACTCATATTGAGTTGTATAAACTCAAAAGTTTTAACCCTGAAGCCTTAAAAAAAGAAATAAAGTTGATTTTGGTTCTTCAATAGGAAATATATCTGCAGTCACATTCAATTAGTTAGACATTCCCTTTAAAACCAGCCCTTCAGCAGGTATTAAACATACTTTTTATTAAGTATAAAAATTGTTTCTTTTAATTGGTTGATGTAATATTCTGATTTTAAAAGTCATGTTTTCATTGACTGTAAATAGAAAATCGTCATAATTAATAATGATAGAATCTTTCAGACATCCATCTATCTTGAGTTAATCTATATAATGTGCTTCAATTAGTGATAAACTGGAATAAATGAACTTTTGAGTAATATTTGATTTGATACAATCAGTTGTTATTTATCAATTGACACAATTGATTGAACGAGATTCTTATTATTATGTCATAATAAATAAATAAATTTGTACATCAGTGAACTTTTTTGTAAATCATATTTAAAAATCTCCTATTTATAGATAAAGAAATCCTGCTTAGAGGACGGATCTGGTCATCACCTTTTATCATCACGTTTATCATATCGCTCATTACTTATGATAAATTTCTTAGATCATTTTCATGTACTGCTTTCGCAATAAATTCAAATGAATAATCTTCAAATCCCCCCAAAACTGTCTGCATTGTTATTTTTTACAATTTTCTCCACTGTTTGCTCAGTGAAAGCATCAATACATATCATTAAATTTAAAAAATATGATTAAATTCAGTGACTGTGTGCAGTTTAATAGTGACACAAATCACTTCTTTGGGTGACACCCCTATCCTAAAGAAACATATTATTAGTATTTGAGTGTCTATGATTGCTGTTCTCCTTAAGAAGAAGTAAAAAAATAGTTATCATCATCGCTATCACAAGAATACCACAAAATATCTTAATACGCAGTTATGTACAAGGTCCCAAACAGCACTGGATTCAGGAAAATAAGGGCCTCCGGCAGGAGCCAGTTTTTCTGCCCTATCTCAGAAAAAAAAAAAAATCTTTTACTCATGCAGAGTACAGATGATTAGGTCGGCCTTAGACAACTGTAGGTACAAATTAGTGGACGGTTAGTTTGAAATGCCTATATATTAGTTAAAAAAAGATAATTTTCAAATATTTGAGTATAGCTTATTAATAAAATGGCATTTTAAATTCATTTTAAAAAAATATTAAAATAAATTAAAAAAAGATCCCATGACTTTAACATGAGGTTCAATGTTTGTAAACACACACGCAAATTATTTTGGGTTGCCCCCCAAATACTTGCTGCCCTGGACAACCGCCCCTCATAATCCTTTTCTAAAGTCAGGCTCAGCTCACGACTCAGTTCTGGATCGTTTTGTGTTGAACTCCTGCAAAGGCGCTCTGGAGGAGCTGCAGAGGCCCCCCAGCTGGAGGCCCCTGACGTATGTTCAAAAGCCTTTCAATGGACCACACAGGCCTGATCACTTGTTGCTTCCCACAGAAGAGGAAGAAGAGTGGTGGTGGCACTGGAGGCAGTAAAGGGGCAGATGGGGGTGGTGGTGGGTGGGGGGGGCAGCAGGTCTCCCCCCTCGGAACAATGTGCTGAATCGGCAGCCTATATATAAGTCTGCCATTTGGACGCTCTAATGCCACTTTACCTTATGAGGGAAGTTCAGCCTGCAGCACCTGCTGCAAACAAAATGCCATAGGAGAGCGGGCCAGATTGTTTTTCACAGACACTCTCACTTACAACAGAGGTGTGCATGCTGGAGGGTGGAGGGGGCAGGAGGGTGGACTCAGTGGGAGGGTGGAGGAGGGTGGGTGTCTATAAATTGTTCTACCAGAGTCCAAACAATTAAACAACTTGTTGGGAATGGTGATTTACTGCGACAGCGAGGGGGGAAGGCCGGAACAGGGCAGCAGTAGGGAGGAGGAGGTGGTGAGGGGTGGGGGGGCAATTACAAGTCTGAAAAGAAGAAGAGAAAAAAAAGGGGGGGTAGAGGGCAGTTTGATGCGCACGAAATGAAAAGAAAAGAAAGGATGAGCTGGAAGCATTCAGCGGGTAAATCCTGGGAAATGGAGCATTCTCACCCAACTTCCACAAGTGATTAAAACCGCCAGGATGAGGAGTCAGTGACACGGCTGTCCGGACCTGCGTTTTGGGTTTTTTGTTTTTTTAAAAAACTCATTGTTGTCTTTCATGCATGAGCTCCCTCTCTCTTGCTCCTTCTCTCTCTTTCGCTCTGTTACTCTGAAAGCTTCTTATCTGCGGGCGGCCAGAGGCTTATCTCGGAGGTGTAGCGCCTCCGAACACGGGGAACACCCTCCAAGTGCCTTTATCGAGCATTTTCCACCACCACGCCGTGCGCCTTGTCCTCCCGTACCCCCTTCGCCCCACACCGTCCTGTCCCGTCATCCTTACAGTGAACTCCAGGGGCCAAAGCCTCTTCCTCCTCCTCCTCCTCCTCTTTGTCCTCCTCACGGGAACCGGGCTGAAAGCCGGACGATCATGGGATTAGACGCTCAAGTTCAAACTGTCGGATTTCAGCCGTGAACACCCATTGTGGGGTTTTTTGTGTGTGTGTGTGTGTGTTTTTTTTGTTTTTGTTTGTTTTTCTTTCTTATCACCTCAAGAGTTAAAACCGGAAAAAAAATTTAACCGAGAGACGATAAAAAACGCGCAGGGTCAAACCTGCGTGACCTCCCGCAAGATGGAAGCCTTCGTTTTGTTTCTCTCTGTGTATTCCAGATGATTTAGAAAGTTTTTATAAAGCAAGGATAAGAAGACGTATACATGACATACTGCAATAAATAAGTACAAACACACACTCTTGCTTAAATTCATACAAGCTGAATTTCACTGTCAGTTTCACAGACGTCAGATTTTATTTCTTCATAAACCGTTCTTTTTGTGTTTTTTCCCCAAACAAGCTATAAATATTTTTTTTAGAAATTGAATTAGTTTCTAAAATGTTCAAATAAGCTGTTGTTATATATGGTGTGACGTCTGATTTTTAATGTATCTTGAGAGTTTTGTGCCCAAAGTCACTAGAATCAGTCTGAGCTTGTGCCTACAGAAGAAGTCCTAAAAACTAAATTAACGCAATCTGATCTTTAGTTATTTTTGTAGTAATAATAATAATAATAATAATAATAATGACAATAAGTCACAGCAGATGAAATCTTTTTTTCCCCCCCTGCAACAAATGTTGTGATGGCATTTAGACAGCACTGCAGCGCATTTATTTCTGCTCCTAATAAATAACAAGCAAAAATAAAAAATTAAAATACATACAATAAAATAAAAAAACTAAAGGGTTTGTTGGTGTTTGCAGTCTCCAGCTGCCAACCTTTAATTCGGGCTGCTGTTCGGTTGGTTTCTGCTCATATCTGTGCGGTTTGGATCCTGCTTTTATTATACGATTGTTTCTGTTTAAGAGTTCGCAGACTGGAATGAAAAGTCACGCAAATGAACAGCCTTCTGTTTTTAATACTAATGTTATTATTTAAAAAAGGAGAACGCGTTTTAAAACTGTTAATCATGAGACCTTTTCTTTTACGACGAATTCCTGGCAGAAAAGTTTTAGGAGTTGAAGTAAGCTGATAAAAACTGCGGTCTCGTGTCTAAAGTTAAACTTCTGAGTCGCTTTGCTTTTTTTTCTCCCCCACATTTTTTTTTCTTATTTTTGTGCAGGGAATTGTTGAAAACAACCTCTGCGGATTTTAAGCAGCGCGATGCGCCCTGAATTTGCAGCTGTCATCGCTGTATTTATTTATTTATTCTTATTATTCTTTTCTTTTCTAAAACAAAACCGAGCAGCGGCGGTTCTGAGCAACGGGACAGGACCGGACAGGACGCCTCTCTTACCTGGACTCACTTCTTCTTCCACATGCGCCGCGCACACTCTCGCGAAAGAGAGAGAAGAAACAAAAACAAAACTTCGGAGGACTCGTCAGCTTGGGTTGAAGATGATGATGATGATGATGATGACGAACCGGCGGGCAGGAGAAGAAGCAAGTAGCGGGGAGTTCAGTTCGGGCTGCCTTCTGATCCCGGGAGTAAAGTCACCATCTCTGGACTTTTGGTGTAAACTCCCTCCGTTTGCGCTGCGCCGAGGAGGAGAGAAGAGAAGAAGAGTGCGGTGTCAAGGAGAGTTTCTGCGTCGCTGTCAGGAGTGACGCCCCGCCCCGGGAGCTGCCAGGTTTTTAATTTACACAGTGTCAATAATAATAATAATAATAATAGTAATTTAAAAAAATAATAAAAAATAAAGAAGAGTATTCATCGGGTTATTTCCCGTCCGGCACTATGTGGAGGCTTCAGTGAGAGTGCAGGGCACTGTCGGGCAATAAGGCAGCGGCAGGATAACCCCTCCTCTCCCTCCCACTTTCTCGCTCCCTTCCTTTCTCACACCCTTTCTCTCACTTCATCCAGACCTGCCCGTTAGTTTCACGGTCTTCCAAGACATTTACCTGCAACTGCAGACAACAGTGGGAGTCGGTGGTTTTCTCCCGCCTAGACCGCTCTATTATTATTTCTTTACATTTCTTCTTCTTTTAGAGATTCAGCGTGTGGCTCCGTGTAACAAGCCCTATGTATGTCCATCATTTTGTCTTAAAGCTCACAAAATAATATATTTTATTATTATTATCATTATTATTTTCTCAAGAATAAAAAAGACAACAAAAAAAAAAAATTACGCCATTATGTTCCGCCTGTGAAATTTACGGAGTAATTGATGTCGTAAACTGGCTCATCAGTGATCACTTACAATAAGAACAGAACAGTTTTAAAAATCCAAATCGGGATTCAGTTTAGTCCACAAAAAATAACATAAGTAATAAAAACTCATCATCCCGATTATGTTTTGGACACTTGTTGTTTTTCAGTCTGTCACAAAAAAAGAAGAAGCATATATTGAAGATAGGTTGGTGACATGAAAATCGACCAGAAATACGTTTTAAGCGCTGGAACAAGGCTCAGATTAACTTCTCGCGCTGCTGAAATGAAGTTTGAGCGTCCTGTCAGCGGCACGAGCGCCAGCTGCTCCTTAGCCATTAGATTTACTCTGGCGCCACCTTTCGCCAGGTTTTAGTCGTGCAGGGATAAAACATCATCTTCAACAGTTACTTTGCATGAGGTATACTGATTTTAATCAGTATACATGCGGCAGAAAATGTACTTATTCAGCTTGACAGCACAAATGAACGCACTGAAGTGAATTTGTGAAATTTCAAGTGCTGAGCTCATTTAGCTTACCTAATTCGTCAACCCATGTTAAAAAGAAGCTAAAACTAATAATTTGTTTATGATTAAAGCATCACAAATATCTGAAATAGTAAAAGAAAACAAGAAATGATTTAAGATTACAACAAGGTGGTGTGTAAACCGTTTGTTATTTCAAAGTTAAGAAGCTAAACTTGCTAGCACGTTTGACGTTAGCTTTGGCCTTGTCGCTATTATAATTACATCTGCTTAGCCTGCACAGATAGGGGAAAAATGTTATGTCTGTCCTCTGTTTGTCCTATTAACCCTTGTATGTCGAAATGGGGTCCAACCGACCCCACACACGTAAAACCTGTATCATTTTCCATGGGCCTCTATGTTTGCCTCAGTCCTCGCATGCACAAGGGTTGAGACATAAAAACAAGTCAAAAGAAGCTCAACGAGACATCACTAATCCAGAAATCTGATCATTTTGTCATGTTCAACCATGTTAAATAATGTGCATGACAGTTGAAGACAAAACAATACAAATGTAGTGAGTGGAAAAACCTGCAGTTTTACTGAATGATTTATAAAACCATATCCATTTCATTCTGTTAAAATTTTACAATCCAGATTGAGCTCTGCAGCTTCGACCAGGTAATCACTGTAGTCACATGTGGGGAAACTACAAAAAATAAACTGAGACATAAAAGTTACTTCTAGTGACTTAAGATTCCTTTAAAAATAAATAAATAAATGAAATAAAAACTGAACAGTGGGCAAAATTTTAGGCAATTGTTGTACACTTCATTTCAACACCCTTCTGATCTGGACTCTTATAGATACTTTTCTGGAACACTTGCTAGGGTGATACATTTCAGTAAATGTTCCTCATTTGTACATGTGTTTCTTAAGAATATGTGACAGGTAGTAAACAGACCTAGGTGAGGCTACTCCAATTTAACTTTTAGCTTTCTGTAGTTAAAGTGAGAGACAAACTCTAACATCACTGCCTTTCCAGAATTTGTCCTCGCATCATTGTGAATGCAACTTTGGTTCAGTCTTTTTCTTGTTGTTGAATCAACACAGTGCTTCATGCTTTCTCCAAAATAGTAAAGGCTGGTTTAAGTACATTTGACACTTGTAGATTTTTTTGTAACATTTGCTAATGTGATACATTTCAGTAAAAGTTCCTCATATGTACATTTATTTCTTAAGAATATGTGACAGGGACTAAACAGGCCTAAGTAAGCATACTGCTTATATTTATCTTTCAGTTTTCCCTAAAGTTGAAAGTTTTTTTACACTGCACAACCACACTCCAACGTGGCAAATTGTTTTGTTACCTTTAAAATTATCTACAGCTTTTGTCTCTGACTTATACGCTGTATGTTTCTTGGCCCTAATGATTCTTTTACTCCATCCATTATCTTACATGCTGAAGTGTGTTCACTAACAAAATATAGTACACCTGTAGTTGTTGAAGGTTCCATTACTAAAACTTATAAATGATCAATGTCAACCATCAGTCTGTATTAAAATATTTAGTACAATTTATTTAGATTTGATGTTTTGATGTGAGCACTTGGATTTCTATCGATTTATTGAATGATACTCTAACTGAATGATCATTCAGGTTTTATATAGTTTTTTCTTTCAATGTTTGTTGCACAAATTCAAATATATGCTGGCTATCAACCAACAATTCAATCAATGAGTCTTTGCTTTTTTTCTCAAGTACCCCCTCTCACAGAGACTTACTTACATCTTCTGACACCTGGCCCAACTTATAATAATATGAATTAAAGCTGCAAGCAGCCTCGAGCGGCCCTCGCAGCCAAGCACCGCTCCGGCCTATAGCCACCGCGGGGGAACCAGCACCGCCGCCCGCCCGCCACCGCATACGCTCTTGCGCAGTTGAAGCACGCGTCCGCCAGGCCATACGCACCAATGAGTTTGGCATCGCTCCCTGACGCCTCACCAAAAATCTGGTGCAGATCGGCCAATGTCACGAGGAGATATAGCTGATAGAATGACCTAGGGGGCGCAGTGGAGTCAAATTACAATTCAATGCTGTCAGGCTCTTTAGCGGTAACAAAGGTATCCAGTTTTTTACCAATCGGAAGGTGCGTGTTTTATTTAGAGACAATCATGTGCATATGGTTCTGCCATTTGGCCACGCCCCCACAGCTCAGCCAGCATTGACAGAGTTCATCATCAGGTCATTTTATGTTAGTTGGGAGAGAATTAATTCCATATGACTTAGAGAGTAAAAGTAAGACATACAATAGAAAAAACAGGTGAGTTCCTGTCGGAAGTGGGCGGGGTTAAGGTGATGTCATCAACTGACCATCTCAATGTGATGAGGGTTGGTCAGTAGTTAGACATAAGAAGTCTTATTCAGCTCTGACCTTCTATGTGGAAGTTATCGCATCTTTGTTTCATGGCGAATAGTCAAAGTTTGGGACTTAGCCACGCCCACATGCTTTGACATACAAAAATTCCTGTGATAACTTTTGACCTTTAATGTCTCAATTCTCTGCTGACTGAGTTTGAAGTCTGTATCTCAAAAGCTGTAGGAGTTCGATCAGATGCGACGTCTATAAAACGGAGGAAATGGCGGCTTTGATCCAAAATGGCCGACTTCCTGTTGGGTTTGGACCATGGCTCCAAGAGACTTTTTTTGTACATCCTGACAAGATACACATGTGTACCAAGTTTCATAATTAAAGGTTAAAGCATGACTTGGGGCTGATCATTTAAAATATGCTAAGGGGCGCTGTTGAGACCCCAGGCCACGCCCACCAACTATTGCACTGAATTCCTGTTCGGGGTTGGATAAGGATCCATCCTAGTGAGTTTGGTGCAGTTGGACTCAAAATTGTGGAATTCAGAGCCAAACGAATGGCATCGGCATTACAGGTCACTTTGCCACGCCGCCACGCCCACCTGCTGCAACCAAACCAAATGGGGTTGGAATCCACTACACACCAACATTTCTTCTGTCTGTGGACACAGTTTCATGTTGATTAGGTCAACAGGTTCAGATAGCGACCATTCTCTGTAAAACATGACATTTCCTGTTCTGAGGGGGCGTGGCTTAAGTGATGTCAAAATCTGACCATTAAGTCTTGTAGAGGACCCAAAGATGATCAATCACTGAAAGTTTGGTGCCTCTCTGACTTTTTGTGTGGGAGATATAACAGTTTTGAATTTCATGGCAAGTATGTGAACTTTGAGCCCTGGTATCACCCCTTCAGCATACATGAAAACTCACCATTTTGATAACTTTTAATCGGGCATGCCTTATGAACCAACTGACTAAGTTTGAAGCCAATCAATGTAAATCCCTAGGAAGCTGTAAATGGCAAAAAAAAATGGCAAAAATCGGACTTTCAATCCAAAATGGCCGACTTCCTATCATATTTGCACTGACATTAATTGTAAAATCTGAGCATCTTGGGGAGCTCTACATGTGTACCAAATTTCATGTCTCTATGATGAAGTAAGGTAATAGGAAAGGGTCTTTTGAATGTCGCTAGGTGGCGCCGTTGAGCCGTTTCTTTTGCGATTTTTGCATCGACCTTAAAATACGTAAATTTTTCGCAGTCTTGACGCGTCCACCAAAATAATTTTCAAAGTATTATTCGGTGTAGATGTTTTGCACCTCCTCTAGAGTTTAGTATCGATTTGAAGTTAGAAAAGAAGAATAGCAGTTTCTCTGCAATCAAACCTGACTCGGCACACACAGCTTCAGAGTCTGAAGAAGAGTGTGTGTGAGTTGTGCAGAAAGAATTTTTAATATCCAATTTATTTTTATTTCTATTTAACTCTCTGATTAACACCTCTATTTCCCGACTATACTTATTACATTCTAGAAAAATATGCTGCACTGTTTCTGACTCTCCACAATAACTACACAAACCTGTACTATGTTTATTAATTATTTTCAAAGTACTATTTAGCCCCGTATGCCCAAACCTTAATCTGGATATAACAACCTCTTCTTTTTTATTCCTATTACCTTCCCTACATTCCCCCTACTTTTTTTGAGTGCTATAATAAAATCGTGCCTTTTCTTCTCTGTCCCATAGTTCCTTCCATTTCTTTTTAATATATATTTTACTTAAACTTTTGACCTCATTTTTGCTTATTTTGATATTAACCTCAAATTTGCTGCACTCTTAGCAAATTTATCTGCCAACTCATTTCCTAGTATTCCAATATGAGCAGGAATCCACATTAACTTAACCCGGGATCCATATTTTTTAATTCTAAAAATTGATTGATTAATATCCAATATGATATCTTGTCTTGTTTCTGAATTCTGTTTTGAATCTGAACAAATCAATATTTCCTTCTTTCTCATTTCCTCACGCCATTCTAGAGCCATTAAAATAGCCATTAGCTCACCCGTGTAAACTGTCAATTTATCTGTTACTCTTTTATTTTTCATAATATTTAAGTCCGGAATTATAAATGCTATTCCAATTTTATCATTTAACAATTTAGAAGCATCTGTATATACTTGTAAATACCCAGCATATTCTTTCTTTATATACCTTTCCACCTCTTTTTTCTGTTTGTCTGCCTTTTTCCAATAAGCTTAAATCAACATCAGCTTTTCCACTTAACCAAGGTGGAGTATCAGGAATACTCACCACAGGACTAATTAAATAATGATTTATTCCTATTTCACTTATCTCAATATTAATAATCCATCCAAAACTATTAATTTTCTTATTTTTAACCTTTTCTTGACAAGGTTGTAACATAACATTTGGAGAATAATTTTCCTTATGTCCTTTAACATTTGCCCAATTTCTCTCCAGTTTCCACGGTGTCCTTGTTTTGAACGTCACGTCCTCAGGTGAAACTCATCAGCCTTACGCAGTTGTAGACCTCTTCAAAGAGGTGCATTTGCTTCTGTGGGAAATTTGAGCACCCAAAACAGGACAGCTACACCACATATTATGTTTGAGTCAAAACCACTCCAAAATGTGTAGGAATTTACCATCAAAAGAAATACGATGAAGACTGTAAACAGCAGCTCTATCGTCTTTCCCAGTAGAGGGTGCGAAGAGAGAAGACTTAGTCAGTCATGGACACCGTAAACATGAATACAGGCTGTGGGATGGGACCAGACTGCGTCTGGAAAGTGGGCTTTTAGAAATACAAATGAATGTTAGAGCACGTTATTGTTGTTATTTGTGGTTGGTCTAGTATTCGTAGTTTTTTTTCTTTTTCTTTTACTTGTTAATTAACAAGTAAAAGACAATTAATTTTCAGTTAATGACAGTTAATTGTCATTAACTGACATTAACTGTCATTAACGAGAATTCTGCAGTTGCTATGGAGTCTGAAGATTATACAAGATTTGATTCAGTTCAAACTGATTCACCCCACATTTAAACATCTTTAGAAGTGTTTAAAACTTTGAACGAAAGTCGGCCAAACGTAGTCCAGAGAAAAAGCTGGAATATGAGGAGGGCTTCAACGTACGGGAAAGATGTTGCTGGCAGTAATAAACCAACAATGAAGGAAGGAGAGAGAAGGCAATCTCTACTGCCTAGTTCGTAAGTTTGAAAAACATTTACTATACTACTATTGTTGCATAACTGTATTGTTCTCGCTGAAGATACCAAAACTAAGGGTTGCTAATTAGGTTAGCTAATGAAAGAGCCATGAGCTAATTAGATTGGCTAACCAAGTCCTGTCTTAAAGTAAATTGTGTTCCTTTGGCTTTCTTGTAGCTCATCTGGAATAAATAGATCCAAAGAGCAGCTAAGGCGACGAAGGAGATCTTCAGGTTTTCTATTCCAGCAGAAATATTCCAGTCCTCAAACTAGCACCAAAGGAATACGGGTACACAAACCTAACTTTTCTCTTTACATTTTTATTATTCATTCTAGTAAATGTCACTGTTTTCTGTCAAGATAGTTATGCCAATACAAATGTTTTTCTCTCGTGGCTGTTCAGTCATGCTACATCAGAGACTGATTCAAGAAAGAGAATATCCAAAGACTTGTGTGCAAAATGTGTTGTCGGTGTCAGAGGTTGAAGGAGAATAGTAACTGGTTTGAGATGATGAATGATGATAAATAGCATCTCTAAATTGCAGTGACGTGCGGTCAGGGTAGGCAGGTGAGCCTCACCTGTTATCATGGAAGAATAGTAATAAAATGATTTATATTGCTATTTTCACCCTGTGATTTGTACTATAAAGTACCTATTTTTTTACTTAGCTTAACCAATTCTGATTATTTTTTCTTCAAAATCTCTGGATTTTCGCATTTTCCCATTCAAATGCTCAGAAGCGAAGCCGGTGAGGCAGCAGCGAGCTGAGCCTCACCTGGAATTGCGCAACCTCTGGCTGCTATTCTATGGGACCAAGTTCGTCCTGTCTGTACGCCGGCAATAAAATGGCTAAAAAACATTTAATAAATGAACTGATTTTCCATAATTTCGCTTATGTATATAATGTACAGTTTTTTTGTTGTCACCAACTGTGTGTGTATCGTGTTTTGTGTGCGGAGGAGCGATCAGACATGAGGCAGGCAGTTCTCTTACCTCATGGCAGGGGGCGCTCATGATCCCAGATTTTGTGACTCCACAACTGCAGAGTAAGACACAGTGAGCTAGCCATGGAGCTAGCCATACAGTAAATAAGTAAAGTACAGCGATATATTTTTCTCCTCTCTTCCAACGTCAACATGAAAGACTACATTTCTGCACTCAAACAGTTTTCTAAAGTGGATTTTCAATTGAAGCAGGAGATAATAACTAAAGAAAGACCATCACCGGAGCTGAAAGTTTTGCTTCGAGACAGTTTGATGATTCTTAACGGAGTAGAAAAGACATGCCGAGGATAGACTTGGCTTTGGATGAATGGATATTTTTGTGCAGAATTAGCGGTGCACGGATTTCATTGATAAGTAAAGGTAAGACAGCAATAAGATGTTTTTGTTTAGTTTTTTTTTTTAATGAAATGTGCGTTTTGTGGGCTACAGTTTGTATGTCTAAATAATTCAGTAAAGTAGAAGCGGTAGCTAATCAACCACAACAATTACTTATTAATAAAACATTAAGCCTAAAACGTACTACAACAACATACTAAATGTTCTGTTCTGTGTGCAAAATTCTTGAATGTTTTTTTGGTGTTAAATCCTAAAACATGAAGTGGCATTGTTGTCAGCTATGGCAATGAGTCTGCGTGCAGCGTGGAGAATACTTCTTTCCCTTTACTGTGGATCATAGCACGAAATTACCTACATTTCATTGTTTCACTGAGTTAACACGGCTATGGATGACATGTAAAAGATTAGTCTTTTTGCCTCCCAGCGTTGTATGCCTGCGCGAAATTTCCGTACGTCCAATAACATGCATGGTGTCTAAGTCGTAAGTCAGTGCCTCACCAGCAATGAACCTCACCGCACGTCACTGCTAAATTGGTTGACATGTTGGATGTTAAAATAAACAGATGGGCTCCAGTTACAGGAGAACAGCATACTACTTTTCCCAAAATGCCACCAAAATTGGATGATAATAATAACAGCCAGAAAAACTGGCGCATATTCCAATGAGTGATGATTTCAACTTAGAAAATTGCGCAGTTATATGCTAAAGGAATTGCCGCTTTTGTGAAACTATCATTTCAATCTGGTCCAGATTTTCTTAAGGGTTGTTTTTGCACCTTGTTGAAAAACAGAAGTAGTTATAAAGGCTATTAGAGACCAAAAAAACCTTGAAAACAAAAAACAAATTATTTGAATAAAAGTTTTCATGACCTTTAAAAAAATCTCAAATTATTACAAAAAAGAACCCCCTGAAATTAACCCAAAAACCTTGCTCCAAAACTCAACTACATATTTACAAATGTGTGTGGCTTTGCCTCCAGGTGTTTGATTCTCAAGGGAGCGATGTCACTCCTCTGCCCCTGGTTGCCGTTGTTGACGACCCGGACCCCAAAACACGTGAAAAATCGTCTCTGGAGGAAGTCCTCTTCAAAAAAGGATCATCGATTTTCAAGTCCTCTACACCCACTGATGTGGTTTCGTCCAGGTACGGCGACATTCAAACACACAAGCCAATAAACATGGAGGGACACTCCATGTTTATTGGGACACCTGATAAAATGTTTTAAAAGCCTTCAAAAAAAAATGTTTAATCGTACCAATGACACTGTCTTTTATTGGAATATACAAATATTCAGTAGGGAAACAGTCCACCATAGTGAAATGAAATAATTTGACACTTTTCACAACTATCTTTTGCCAGTAAGTCTACTAGAGCATTCCACACGGTCGAAGCGTGCATGGAGAGAAATTTATGGATATTCATTTTTTTGGACACTTTCTCTGCATTTCTCCAAAAACTGAAAGTCTTGTGTCCTATTCATCCCACTCCACAGGTTTTCTTTCGAATCAAGCTGTGGTCGCTGAGAGGCTTTTGAAAAAGATTGATTTATGACTTTTTGACTGATCAACTTCAACTTTGCAAATTTGGTCCCAGGTTTTGAATCTGTCCTAATGTTTCTATGTAAAATGATGTATGGCATATGGAGTTCAGTACGCCATGCTTTCAAGTAGTGTTTCTATGGGTCTTTATTTTTTTAACAGAGTAAATATTCCAATACTTAAACTCTTTCTGTTTGTGTGAATTGCAGGTTTGGCAGCTCATTTACCAGCAAGCCCACGGAATCTGGTGCTCTCTCAAGAAGCAGCATAACCGACGATAGTTTTTCTCTGCCCAGCACTGATGCTGCTTATGGTGGTTGCTATAATTTTTATTTTATTTTTATTTTTTTGCTGTACATATTGAACGAATGCCCAGTGTAAATTCTTTGACTTGAGTTGTTCCCCTCAAGACAAGTAGATGAGGTCGGATTTGGTGTTTCTGTTTTAAATTTGGATATCAGTGGAATTACTGAAAATTGTATCAAACGTATCATCTATTGATATTGATATTGATCGTGTGTCTATAGCGATGCATCAGTAACGATGTATTACTGTCGCTCGTCCAAACAAACAGACAGACATGCCATTTTGTCAAACGCCAACATCAAAATAATCAAACAAATGAACATGAAATATGCAAATCAGTGTTTCACTTACTTACTAATTAAAGGCAGCTCTAAACAGGTGGGGGTTTTTAGCCTCGATTTGACGGAACTTGGTGTTTCTGCAGTCGTGCAGTTTTCTGGAAATAATCCGTTTTGTGCTCCTGTTGCTTTCAGAATTCCCACGGAAGCCTGTGGCTGAGGGATTCGACATCATCCTCAGCGAGACGGACACCATCTCGCTGCTGGACCTGCCCCCCACCCTCGTCTCAGAAGATGCTGAGGACGCAGACGCGGTGAAGTGAGTGCATCTGAATCGAGATCTTGAACTTGAAGTGGAACTTATGAGGCTAAAATTTCCTTTATTTTCCTTTTTGCTCTTCTGTTGCAGACAGAGAAACCGCGACTACGCCGAGTTTTGCAGTAGTAAAATGGGCAGTGATAATTTTTTCGAGCGATCATCTCAGACACTTGTCGGGGAGCATAAATGCAAATACACCCAGACCGACACGAACAAAAGTGTAAACAAGGGTGAGAGTTGACACAAAACACCGCAAAAGTGTTTTGTGTTGTTTATGTCTGATTTCGGATTTGTTTGACTTGGAAGGTCAACAAAAAAAAAAAAAAAATGATGCTTTGTGTTCATGCTTACAGGCACAATCGCTACTACCTGGGACATATATGATTCGTTCTCTATGTCGACTGAAAATAGGGAAACCAGGGAATCTGAGCGGGTGGATTATCTCACGAGAACCAGGAATAAGCAAGACGTTTCAGAAGTAACCATGAGCAGGGAAACAGGTAAGAGTTTCAGTGAAAATCAGGCTTACTTCTTGCTCTGCTCCCAATCCTAGGCATTTGCTTTTCTGAAATATGCCAAATGTAATGAAGAAATTAACTTGTTTCAATGCAAAAGGTCAAACTCGAGAATACACTCAGCACCAAAACAGAGATGTAGCTCGAGCTAATATTTCTCTTCATTTCAACGATTATGTATTTCAGCAAAAGGAACAAAATCATCTCTTCTCTATAAAAAATAAGATTAATCATACTGATAATAATACCCTGTACAAGATTATAGCATGAAAATACTGTGCAGTTATCAGAAATAGAAAGATAGTACTGAGTTGCATGTTAGGTTTTTTATTATTATTTTACAATTTTAACTTATTCTGATTGGATTGAAAACAGATTCAACGTTATGATAAAGATGTATAATTAAACACTCAAAATTAAAGATATATTTATACATTTTTTTGCATGTTTTTCCTCATTGTTCTTCTAACTTTCTGAAGTCCTTCTAGCACCCCCTGGTGGCCACTCCACAGTTTATAGGTCTCATATGAAGCAGATTTTTGTCATTATAGAAAGAAAGAAAAAAATGCGTAGTTGTACAACAACAAACTTCCAAAACATTTCAGATTAATCTTCAAATTTTTCTAGAACACACGGGGAAATTATTGAGCTCCAAAAGTCAAACATTTGTAAGACAAAAACGCAGAAGTTTTGGGATTCCATCCATCCATCCATTTTCTGAACACCCTTGTCCCTTAGTGGGGTCAGGAGGGGTGCTGGTGCCTATCTCCAGCTAACGTTCCGGGCGAGAGGCGGGGTACATCCTGGAGAGGTCGCCAGTCTGTCGCAGAAGGTTTGGGATTATTCTCAGAAATTTTCAAGAAAAAACAAGGATATTTCGGAGTTTCACAAGTCAAAAATTGTTCTCTTTTTTTTCTTTGTGTCTATGCAAACATAAACCATATCTTTCAGACTTGTACTTTTGAAAACAAAAACATGAATGTTTCCTTTTATTCCACCTTCACAAGAAATGAACTGTGCTGATCTACCATATAAAATTCAAATAAATTAGATGAAAGTCTGTTCTATTATAACAATATTAATAAAGAACATTCATGCCACTTGTTCATTTGACATTTCTTTGGGTTCCGGTTTGAGTCACACATTTTTGCCTTATGTATGAAAATGATTTTTAATTTTCTTTTTATGTGTCATTTCCACAGGCAGTGGCGTCAGCTCGGCGGCAGAGACGGACGCTGATCTGTTCATGTTAAAAACTGAGTCAAACTTGGAAAAGATCCTGTCGTCGGAAGCTTTCATGAAAAGCGTGTCGATAATGGAGAGAGTGATAGTGCTGAACATTTTTCAGCCTAAGCTGGCTGCCTTCAGAGGGCTGCCTGTCCTGAAAGGTAAGCTCAGTCAGCCTGTATGCAGATGTGTTTCAACTGACCTTAAA